ACGGTAATTCAAAAACTGCGTCGACAAATAGGACCGAGATATTTTACGTTTATTGTATTTTTTGTGATCTTCTTTAACGAGAAATCACCTTTTTGGTAGAAGAACAATTCAGAGCTACCTATCCCAGGGTGAAGTTGGCCAGTTCATAACTACACCACGAATGCCTAGCGGGAATGAATCTTAGTTGTCAGATTGTTGTGAATCAATAAAGACAGCATACTAGTCAAGTTCAATGAAGGCAGCAGAACCAAACCTTGAACAAAGGAGTTCTCAAGTGCACAATCCCCACTAATTGTGTGGGCGGAGTCAGGCCCACTGTTGGGTCTTCCTCATTGGTGTCCACCGTCCTTTCTAGCGTATCAGAGTACAGGGTAACCAATTAGAAATAAAAAACCCATTAGAAATAACTGCATATCTGAGTCCTCCGACACGACCAGTTTCGACTGCGCCTTTAAACTCTAAAGGTAGAGCCCAATAAAACATAAAACATTCTAAGTTTGATTATCGATTGACTGTCCGAAAGGATCGATTTAGACAATCAGCAGAATCGACTTCTGAACGTTTTACTACTTGAAACTGAACTATAACGTAAAAAAACGTACCGTCGGGAATTGAGGCGTGTTCGGCACTCGTGGAGGAGGCGCGGCAGCGACTGCTGCTGCAGCTGCTGGAGCCACAGTCTGCACAGGACATTCGGCCTGGAAATCTTCACAAATTTATCAACAAGTCACATATTAATCGGACAGCACAATGACGCGAATCAAAAGAAGTGACTTTATTGCACCTTCTTCTTGGCCTGTTCATCGCGCATCTTCTTCCGTGCCAACACCTGGATATGCGAGGATACCTGTTTCCGAGTTCGCGTTTTACCGCATCGTAGTTTGATATACCGAGCAATAAGTTCATTTCGTCCTGAAAACACAGCAAAAATATGCAAATATTCTTCAGCTCTACTCTTGTAAACTCTGCAAGTTAGTTATAAGCGTTTCACATATTCTGTGCCTTACGAGGTTTTGAAGTGGAACATTCATTAAATAAGGCTCAACGTTTTGACTTAATCGTCCTACTCAGAGGTTGACGGTTTCAGCTGGACAAAAAAAGTCCGTTATCCTTTAATCTTTATGAACCCTTCATGAACCACATAAAAAATAGTGCGTCGCTCTTTTCCTTCTGAGCACTCGCTCTCTTTGTTTCCCATGTTTGTCGTGATGAGGGAGTGGTGCTTCAGACCGAGCTGCACGGACGAGGTCAGAGAACTCCTGCTATCATCCGTTACCTTCGCAGTCACCGGTGTTAGGCTATGCACGTTCTTGTGCAGGGTGCCGTCTACGAGTTCCACACTGCGGCGAATTAGCGCTGCAACTATACTCGCGCGCGGCATTCGCACCAGGACCTATAGTTGATATCGTGCAGTCAGCGCGGTGTCAGGAAGCTGAGGAATGAGCCAAATCCTGGTCCGTTCACTACCATCAGCGACCGCGGGCGCAGTTCGGCGACAGGGGGCATTTCGCACTTTTGTTGCTTCACTAGTTCTGGTTTACAAGTCTCACTCTGGTGAAACCTGTGAACTCTAGTGAAGCTGGAGCAAGCTCGTCAAGATAAAAACCTGCCACCCGAGAAGAGGCTGCCTAATGGGTCGGATGAAGAGCTGTCTAATGGGTCCACATGACGATGGGAAGCAGCGAAAGTTCAAAATGCCCCCTCCCTCGCGAACAGCGCCACGACCGTTCAGGAACAAGAAGGTTACAGTAGAAGGCGTTGCAGATGAGTTCATTCCATAACCCCTCACTATTGAATATATCAATCATAGGTGACATGAACGCGCGCTATCATCGAGTCAAGCAGCTAAGTAGAAAATATCTAGTTTTCTGCACGCGAACGCCAATATCTTAAAATACATCATTTTCTTGGTCCGCTACTGTGCACTAGGCGGAGGTAGTGCAGTGGCAAGCAGACGTCCGCGGTCGGGAGTCAAATCGACTTATGCCCAGACCAACCAAGCTTTCTACCTCCTGGGACGGTGAATTGAGGCCAAATTCCCCTGAGATGGTGAAGAGCCCGGAGACGGTGAATTGGTACCAGATTTGTCTGGGAGGATAAGAACACTGACTTGTACATCGGCTGGCCCCCGCAAGTCATTGTATAGGCCACATCGCATTCAGTAAGCCACTACGATCCTTAATGGAAGTAAAACGTGTGCCGCATCCCAAAACATAATTGATTATTACCCCTCATCCCTTATCCTTATTGTGTATTTCTTAGGCCACCCAAACTTGGCTAGCAGAGCCACACCAGTGAAATCTTCGAAATCCCAGAAAGAGAAAGTCCAACGACTATTTCGAAGTCCCCACTCTCGCAAGGCCAATGGAGCCCTTCAAAAGAACTGCTGGGCTCGCTCAATCTGTCACCGCCTTAGCAGTGCACGTGTTGCTAAAAATCTGACAATAGAGCGCATCTGTTGATGCACACGTACGGTATAATCCATCAATACGCAATTATGCGTCTGGTGTTAATTGCGATCTCATGATGACCCTCCCGTTCACACGTCCTCATCTGACCGATAATGATGAGCATGATTTCATCGCTGATCGATCTACATCACTTGTCATCGTACTTGTCTAATATTTAATTCAATTGTCACCCTTTCCGTCTGTCCGTGGAACGGGGTACGTTTGAATGGACAGCATCTACTCCCATTCTGTAAAGGTTAGGAGTTGATGGAGATTAACGGCACAGAAGAGAGTAATCAGGAGTATGGAACTCCTGGAAAGTAC